ATAACTGATAATAAAAAGATAAAAAGAAAATAGGGGTTAGGAAACAAGTGCATTTAACAGGAGTTTTTTAACATAATGTATTATACTACCATCTTTTTCTGATTGAAAATTTTTGATTACATTTGGGAAAAAGACCCCATCAGAAAGTGGCCGTGGCTTGGGTGGTAACACCTTTCACTCAAAACTGAAGGATTAAATTTCAGTCATAAGCGCTGGAGACACTAGAGGTCTCCTTATACCTGTTGCCCCCTTTTTTACCTAGCAATTAATGGGTTTCCCCGGGTGTTAGCTGATGGCTGCGGGTTTTGCACCCTGGGGGTTAGTAGTATACTTAGATAGAGCTGAGCTTTTGGTAGGATAATAGCTCAAGCTTGTAAATTCATTCCTCAAAACTTAAGTAGGTTTAAATATATTACTGTGGCATGATTTTTTTTTAGGATCCCCTTCCAGACAAGAAACTCAAAGGGAAACAAACAGATGCTCTGATGCAAGTTAGTTAGTTAGTTTAAATGTTTATTATGCACCCCATACCCATCCTGTGGCGGTAGTCAAAAGATTACAGAGGTACATAATGGGTCCAGGGACTGGCCTTTAAAAGTTTTGATAGCTGAGCAAGTTACAGAGGTAATGAATTCACAATTTAAAAGGAAAATGAACCCCACAATTTACAAAGGTAATGAACTCCAGGTAGGTCTAGTCACAATCAGACAAGTTACAAAGGTATTTACAGTTACAGAGGTACACAATGGGTCCAGGGACCGGGCTCCAAAGTTTTGATGGCTGAACTAGCTGCATGCTAAAGGCTTTCTGCGTGACCCCCTAAATGTCACCCATCTCTGACAAACATTGTATCATGATGAAATAAAGCATTTGTAAATTTTGTAAGAAAAATGCCAGTTTCTGTGGGTTTAAAACCCCTTTAAAATGTCCAAACGTAGATCTACGTCCGCGTGCGGTGGGCTCCAAACATAGATCTGCTTTTTTTTTTTACATGCTTTCAAAAAGGGGAAATCAAGGTCAGAGCACTACGCACTGAACGTAGATCTACATTTGGACAATTTATGGGTTAATGAGAGCTTGAAGGATAATTTTGAAACTATTTTTTAGAGTGAATTAGGTTTTTTAAAATTTCTTTTATTTTTAGAGTGAATTTAGATTATTTAAAATTTCTTTTATTTTTTTTGAGAGAATTTAGGTTATTTAAAATTTTTTATTTTTTAGAGAGAATTTAGGTTATTTAAAATTTCTTTTATTTCTTAGTGTGAATTAGGTTATTTAAAATTTCTTTAATGCAGTATACAGGTAATGTAGTTTACATATAATGAGATATTATTAGGCATTAAAGAAAGCCACTAGTATGAGGTGCATTTCAGACAGGCTAATCCAAATGCTTGATGATTACTTAAGAAATAAATGTAGGTTATTATGTAGGAGTTTTTAATTTATTTAACTTGCTCATAGGTTTTGAATGTATGTGAGGCCTAACTGAAAAAAGTACAAAAAATCACCAAATTATAAACAATATTTACACATCTATGCCGGGAGCAAGGGGCTAGTAACCCCTTCTCCCGTATAAATTACTAAATTTAGAAAGAGAAACTTTCGTTTTTCTTTTTGGGCCACCCTGCCGTGGTGGGATAACGGCCGGTTTGTTGAAAAAAAAAAAAAAATTCACATCTGATATTTCGTTACATATTCCCAAATTCTCTTCAGGAGAAGATGGTTGGCAATGCTCAGGGTGCTGAAGATTTTGCATCAAGTCATCTAGAACTTGTAGAGAAGGCTCCTCCACTTTTGTTTGTCACACTGGCACATATGGACGTCTTAAGTTTGGGAGCGTGTCCATGGGCATACATACGAGCGGTGTCTGACTCCGTTTTGGAGGTAGGCCAAAAAAAAAAAAAAAAAAAGACATTCATTCTGTATTTTTTCTCATTTTTTCTTTAAACACCTCCCCTGCAACACACTGTTAAAAGTAATGTAGTATGATCACCTTTATAGGTCCAGGAACTATGCAAAGTTCATGGTGTCTTATTTTTGTTTCCATGGTGTCTAATTTTTATGTTTCCAGTGGTTGTAGCATTGATTGTATATCTCCTCTTTTAAATCATTTGATTGATCTGCCATTCTGTTTACAAATACAAACTTTCTAGTATCCTCACAACAACTCTTTTTTTTCTAAGCATGCTTTTATATATAACTACCCATTTGTGATGCTTATTTATAGTAAGAAGCATAGAGCTATATTTATAGTCTTTGGTTGTCTTTACTTATTCATAATGTAATATATTATTTGTTGCACATATAACCCCTTCTGAAACCCATTTCATTCATTTGTTGTTTGAGTTGTTGTGAAGAGTGGATGATCCATGTCACAAGGATGCTGGGGAAGATCTATATTATGGATGTGACTGGTGGAAATGAGGGTTTGGTCAGTTTATGGTGGGGCCAAATCGGAATTGGGGTTAGTAAAAGAGGTTGATTGCAGGAGATGAGATGGGTGGTTATTTTGGCATAACAGTACATTGAAAAACATGACCCATTCTTCTTTATGTAGGAGCTCATGAACTTGATTATTTCTCAGAAATGGTCAGTATGTTTTGTTTTTTCTTCCTTAAAATATTATGTAGATTGATACATAAATGTTTTGGATAGATTTTACTTGCTCCCCATTTTCATGAATATGAGGTAAGACATATATGATGAACAAGATAATATCTTCCCTTAATATTTATTTTTATTTTTTTATTATCACACCGGCCGATTCCCACCAAGGCAGGGTGGCCCGAAAAAGAAAAACTTTCACCATCATTCACTCCATCACTGTCTTGCCAGAAGGGTGCTTTACACTACAGTTTTTAAACTGCAACATTAACACCCCTCCTTCAGAGTGCAGGCACTGTACTTCCCATCTCCAGGACTCAAGTCCGGCCTGCCGGTTTCCCTGAATCCCTTCATAAATGTTACTTTGCTCACACTCCAACAGCACGTCAAGTATTAAAAACCATTTGTCTCCATTCACTCCTATCAAACACGCTCACGCATGCCTGCTGGAAGTCCAAGCCCCTCGCACACAAAACCTCCTTTACCCCCTCCCTCCAACCCTTCCTAGGCCGACCCCCACCCCGCCTTCCTTCCACTACAGACTGATATACTCTTGAAGTCATTCTGTTTCGCTCCATTCTCTCTACATGTCCGAACCACCTCAACAACCCTTCCTCAGCCCTCTGGACAACAGTTTTGGTAATCCCGCACCTCCTCCTAACTTCCAAACTACGAATTCTCTGCATTATATTCACACCACACATTGCTCTCAGACATGACACTCCACTGCCTCCAGCTTCTCCTCGCTGCAACATCATCACCCACGCTTCACACCCATATAAGAGCGTTGGTAAAACTATACTCTCATACATTCCCCTCTTTGCCTCCAAGGACAAAGTTCTTTGTCTCCACAGACTCCTAAGTGCACCACTCACTCTTTTTCCCTCATCAATTCTATGATTCACCTCATCTTTCATAGACCCATCCGCTGACACGTCCACTCCCAAATATCTGAATACGTTCACCTCCTCCATACTCTCTCCCTCCAATCTGATATTCAATCTTTTCATCACCTAATCTTTTGTTATCCTCATAACCTTACTCTTTCCTGTATTCACCTTTAATTTTCTTCTTTGCACACCCTACCAAATTCATCCACCAATCTCTGCAACTTCTCTCTCAGAATCTCCCAAGAGCACAGTGTCATCAGCAAAGAGCAGCTGTGACAACTCCCACTTTGTGTGTGATTCTTTATCTTTTAAACTCCACGCCTCTTGCCAAGACCCTCGCATTTACTTCTCTTACAACCCCATCTATAAATATATTAAACAAACACGTGACATCACACATCCTTGTCTAAGGCCTACTTTTACTGGGAAAAAATTTCCCTCTTTCCTACATACTCTAACTTGAGCCTCACTATCCTCGTAAAAACTCTTCACTGCTTTCAGTAACCTACCTCCTACACCATACACTTGCAACATCTGCCACATTGCCCCCCTATCCACCCTGTCATACGCCTTTTCCAAATCCATAAATGCCACAAAGACCTCTTTAGCCTTATCTAAATACTGTTCACTTATATTGTTTCCACTGTAAACACCTGGTCCACACACCCCCTACCTTTCTAAAGCCTCCTTGTTCATCTGCTATCCTATTCTCCGTCTTACTCTTAATTCTTTTCAATTATAACTCTACCATACACTTTACCAGGTACACTCAACAGACTTATCCCCCTATAATTTTTGCACTCTCTTTTATCCCCTTTGCCTTTATACAAAGGAACTATGCATGCTCTCTGCCAATCCCTAGGTACCTTACCTCTTCCATACATTTATTAAATAATTGCACCAACCACTCCAAAACTATATCCCCACCTGCTTTTAACATTTCTATCTTTATCCCATCAATCCCGGCTGCCTTACCCCCTTTCATTTTACCTACTGCCTCACGAACTTCCCCCACACTCACAACTGGCTCTTCCTCACTCCTACAAGATGTTATTCCTCCTTGCCCTATATACACGAAATCACAGCTTCCCTATCTTCATCAACATTTAACAATTCCTCAAAATATTCCTTCCATCTTCCCAATACCTCTAACTCTCCATTTAATAACTCTCCTCTCCTTTTTTAACTGACAAATCCATTTGTTCTCTAGCTTTCTTAACTTGTTAATCTCACTCCAAAACTTTTTCTTATTTTCAACAAAATTTGTTGATAACATCTCACACTCTTTTCATTGCTCCTTTTTACATTGCTTCACCACCTCTTAACTTCTCTCTTTTTCTCATATATTCCTCTTGCATCACTTTACTTTGTAAAAACTTCTATTTAATTTTTCTCCCCTTTCTACTCTCTTTTACAATTTCCACCAATCGTCCTCTCCCTCCTGCCCCCACTTTCCTGAAACCACAAACTTCTGCTGAACCTCAACACTACTTTTTAACCTCCCCCTTACCCTTCGACCCCATTCCCTATCCTTCATTAGCCCATCTATCCCCCAATGTGTTATATCTTCCCCTAAAACTGCCTCCTCTTTTATTTTATAAACCTTCACCTCCTCTTCCCTGATTTTTAATTCCCCCTTGTTTCCCATCTACCTTTTCTCTCGTGTAGCTACAACTAGAAAGTGATCTGATTATCTTCCCCCTTATAAACAGTCATCCGAAAGTCTACCAACAGTCTTTTATCTACAATACATAATCCAACAAATACTGTCATTTGCCCCAAAAACTATCGGTAACTTTTTTTCCCTTTTTCTAAATTGTATTACTTAATAAACCCCTTTCTATACAAAGTTCACAAAGGGCCCCATTATCATTTACACCTGGCACCCCAAACTACCCCACCACAAACCCTCTCTAAAAGTTTCTCCTACTTTTGCATTCAAGTCCCCCACCACAATTACTCTCTCACTTGGTTCAAAGGCCTATCATTCACTTAACATCTCCCCAAAAACTCTCCTCCCTCGCATTCCCTCTTTTCCAGGTGCATACAGCTTATTTTGACCCCCTTTCGCATTCCAACCTTACTTTAATCCACATATTCTGAATTTACACATTCATTTCTCTTTTCCCCCTTCCAAAAAATGATCATTTAACATTACTGCACCCCTTTCCCTTTTCTTAAAATCTCTCAAATCTCCCGATTTAATCCCATTTTTTTCCCCCACTGAAACCTTCCTACCCCCCAGCTTTGTTTGCTAGGGCCCGGGCATCCAACTTCTTTTTTATTTTTTAACATCAGCAACATCTGTTTTTTGTCATCCGCACTGATCCACGCACATTTAAGCAAACCCGTTTTTAAAGTTTTCTTCTTCTCTTTTTTTTGTAATTGTATACGGAGAAGGGGGTTTCTAGCCCATTGCTCCCGGCATTTTGTCGCCTTACGACAGCAGGCTTTACGGGGGAAAAATTTTTTTTCCACTTCCCCCCTTTACAATAAAGAAATAAAAAAAACAAGAGCTATTTAGAAAAAGGAGAAAAACCTAGATGTATGAAATATATATATATGCATGTGCGTGCCCTGTGAATGGGACCAAAGTGTAAGTAGGGTAGCAAGAATCCCTGTTATCTTGCGGTTTATGAGACAGAAAAGAACCAGAAATCCTACCATCAGCAAACAGTTACATTTTTTTGTTTCACATCATCTGGCGGGGACGTAATTTCCCCTGGTGGTTGCTGTCTACCAACCTACACCTACCTTCCCTTAATCATTACTTTTTAACAAGTCATAGAGACTAGAAACCTTCCCGAAACTCTCAAGATGGCAAGGGTTCCCCAATACAAAAGGTGGTGACCCTACAGACTTAAACAATTGGGCCAATATCTAACTTACCTTTGTTTCCCAAAAAATTTTTGGGAAAAAAACTCGTGCACGGGAGACTGTTTTCTTTTAAAAACGGCTCAAAACATTTTCAACCCCTCCCAATTTTTGGTTTTCAGGAAAAATAAAAGCACTAATGATGAAAATCTAAAAAGCGATCTGCTTTAAAACACTTTGGGAAAATAAAGAATATCCCTGGGAATTTTTTTGACCTAAAAAAAAATTTTTTTACACGGTAGACCAGGGACACCCCTCCCAAAAATTTGATTTTACGGTATAAAAGGGCCCATGCGTTGCTTATTTCAAATTTTACATTACTAATAGGTATCATATGTCCCCTTTTAAAGACACAGCATCAGCAACCGGCCCTTGATACTGGGTTCCGAGGGAGGTCCTTTTTCCCCTGATCTTCCTCATAACAAATGACCTTCCAAACTATCCCAACACCGGGAAACCCATTCTCTTTGCTGACAACACGACTTATGTAAATTTTCCCCACCCAAATCTTGCAACCCTCAACACATTGTGAAGAGAGCTGATAAAATATCGACTTGGATGACAGCCCAAAAAACTTACCTTACATGCTAAACCTACATTTATGTTTGGTAGCAAGTAGGAGATGCCTTAACATTAAGTTTGACAACACTCTATACCTGAATTAGGGGGCAAATTCCTGGCTATATGACAACACTTTTTCTACTACTCCATTTACCATCATTAACCAAATCGTCCCTTTCCCTCCTAGACCACTTCTGAAACCCCAAAAACTGCTTCTGAACACTTAACCACTCACATTTTATCCTTTACCTCTCACCCTATGCTATTCTGCTTGGGGCCCATCTAACTCCATCCAATAAGCTTTAATCACCCAAAAACTGCAGTAAGAATAATCACTAAATCCCATCCCTGGCAACACACCCCCCCCACTCTTCATAGACCTAAACTTACTCCCTGTTCAGTACATCCACACTTACTACTGTGCAATCTACATCTACAGGGCCTTAAACTCTAATATCAACCTTGACCTAAAACGCTTTCTTGATAGTTGTGACAGAACCCACAGGCATAAACACCAGACACAAACATCTCAAACGACATTCCCCGTGTCCGACTAAACCTTTACAAAAATTCAATGCATGTCAAAGGCCCTAAAATCTGGAATACCCTACCTGAGAACTCTAGAACTGCAGACACATTCATCACCTTCAAAACTACCATTAGAAAACATCTTATCTCCCTGATACACCCCGTCAACTAACTACACAAATACCACCTGGTGGTTCAAAACTTACACTCACTCACCCATTTTGACCATAAACAGAAATATTAATCTCAATCTTAAAATAATGAATCCTGTGATACTCCAATACTGAAACTATGTACTGTGCCAAAATAAAAGCATTCACATTGCTAAACTCACAAACTAGTATTTAGTCACTTAGCCATAATACCAACTTACCTCATAATTTGTAATATTTTACAATTAAGAATAAAACTAAGTCTGCCCGAAATGCCTAGCCATGCTAAGCGTTCTAGTGGTACACTCTGTAATCATTATTTTACTACATGTAAACCACACAATAATCAAATTTCTGTAAACTCAGCATTGTAATCCTTATAGAGAATAAACTTTGAATTTGAATTTGAATTTGGAGTTATCATTAATTGGCTTCCATTCTCCTGTATAATTTACTAAATTTAAAAAGAAAAACTTTCGTTTTTTTTCTTTTTAGGTCACCCTGCCTTGGTAGGATAGGACCACTGTTGAAAAAAAAAAAAAACTAAAACATTAATTGGCTTAACACTACCTTTACCTTCAGCTGAGCTGCCAGTCATTACTAACTCTATAAAACTAAATTCACAGGTGCGTGATTTAGCCACCAAGGAACTGCTTCACGGAGGCCGGGTAATGTGGAGGGATAGGAATGATGTGCAAATTTCTCCTGACTATCTCATGTTCCATCCTGATGACTCTAGCAGAGTTATTCATGTTAGGACCTCTGAAATCAGGTAATAGGCTTGTGAAAAAAAATTTAACGTTTTCCTTCCATCTCCTCCTCTTACCCCCTGGAAAAGAACGATGTTTTCTTTTGCTTATATTTTCATGATCTGTCAGAGTCAAAGATTTATTTCCACATGATACAGTATTTGTACAGGGATGGGTGACATCTGGTTGTGCATGCAGCAAGCCCTTGGTTATGCAGAGTATTTTGGAAAAGCCTTAGCCTAACTTGAGACTACAATGGCAATAATTAATATTTGCTTATTATGTATGTAATGGATTTTGCTTTACTCTATAAAATACATAAACATATGACCATGCTGTTCAGGGTTGCCAGCAGTTAAAAGAATGTAAACAACTCATTGAATAGAATAGGATACGAGTCCCATTCCATTCACTGCATTGTTGACAATTGTGACATCAGGATTTCGTGAGTCAGCAGTGTTTCTAAATAGCAACATCCTGAGAGTTTTTGATATTATTTTCCATAGTGCTGTTAGATTAAAATTATCATACCAGTTTACCATGTTTTCCATTCCTGTGATGAGTTATTCTCATCATCCTCAAGAATTAATAATTTCATTAAATGTTAATTGCATCGTTGGAATCATCCAACAGCAGATTTAGATTTGTGGATGAATTATAGAGCTTTCTGTTTTAGAATTCTGGCGATTAAAGAAAAAGAAGGAAGACGAACCTTAGAGGAAGAGTTTGCCTATCCAAAGAAAAGAAAAATTACTAAGGTATGTATGTTAATTATTTTCTTTCAGAGAACATTTTATTAGATGTGGTCTTCGATATCTGTGTACACTGAATATTAACCTGTAAACGGTCCAAGCAGATCTACGTTCACATGTGTAGTGCTACAAAAGTAGATCTACGTTTTTTTTTTTTACATATTTTCAAATATAACAAAAAAAAAAAGTAGATCAAAGTTTTTTTTACACATTTTCAAATGTAAAAAAACAAAAAGAAGATCTACTTTTTTTACATACTTTCAAATGTTGAAAAAACGTATACAGGTGTCCCTCAACATTCGCGAGGGTTAGGGGATCAAGAGCCTCGCGAATTTTTGAAAAACCGTGAATGTTTGGTGCCCCAATATATTGTAGGGAAATATAATACAATACTGCTTCCTTAACTTGTTGAACCGTGAACAACCATAAAATACATGAAAACGTCATAAACTGTACTAAAAATATACATGTATGCTTAATAACATGTATGTTATTAAATACCACAGACTCCACCATTGCCTCCACCATTGCCTCCACACTTCCTCAACCACTGCGAGTCCCTACTACCCTCCTCCGACCCCCGCAACTGGCAGCCAGCCCTCCCACCCTCAGTGTGTGTGATGTTTTTGTTTGTTCATTTTTTTGCTATTAAACTACAGTATAAATAATGTAAACCCATTCATGACTGCATATTGGAATGGCTATTTGAACAGGTATTGGACGGTGACATCAGTGTTTACTCTTGAACACAGCAATAGCAATTCTGCTATTGCTGCTACTGTAATAATAATATAATAATAATAATAATATAATAAGAAGAAATTGTACAAAAATACGAGAGTGTTGAAGCAAGGGAATTTGTTTAAATTGGAGGGAACTAGGGCTCCCGACTCATTTCCCTACTTTGTATATTTGTGTTGACAGTGTTTTTATATCATCTGTTACAATAAACAATTACAATATTAAAATTACATTATTTAATAACATTTATTTTTTTTACAAGTGGCCTCTCCCACCGGTGCCACAAAAGAAACAATCCCTTTTTTTCTTTATAATTGCGAAAAGGGGTTACTACACTGCCTCCAGCTTTTGACCTTTTACAAACGCATGGCTGGAGGGGTTTTCTTACCACTTCCCCATGGATAAATGGTTCTCAACAGCACTCACACTGCCTCAAAATCAATGAAACTCAGCTAAGTGTGCTAAAAATGGTTTCATGCTGCGTAAGTTTCCTCAACGTGCTAAGTAGCTGTCAACAGCTGCCTCGAAATCCTCATCTCTCAACACTGACCCCACCCACCTCAGCATCCTCCACATGTAAAACCAATCCTCAAGCGCTTTCCGTTTAACTCTTGCAGGCGGTCCTCCGTGGATCAATTGCTGCCTCACACTGCCTCACCATTATCAATTGCTGCTCAACAATCATTACCATTCTTAATCAGCTGCTTAACTATTGCCTCAATCGATGCTAAAGCTCTCAACCACTGCCTCAATCGCTGCCCCAACAGCTGCCTCAACACTGCCTCCTCAACAGCGCCTCAACAGCTTCCTCAACCCCTGCCTCAATTGCTGCCTCAACAGCTGCCTCAATCTGCCTCAAGCCTCACGCTGCCTCAACAGCTGCCTCAACCACTGCCTCGATCGCTTCCTCAACTGCTGAACCATTGCAAAATTTGGCGGAGACAATGCTCAAACCCCTGCATACAAAGCCACTCGACATGTGTCAACAGTCCTCAATTCTAACAACTTTCCCTTTAATTATCCATTTAATTGTTGCTAATTAGTTTCCTATATTTTAATTCTTCCTTCAACAGCTTCATAGCCACGTGCAAATCGTTTTCTTTGCTGCCTTCAAGAAAGCCCTAATGTACCGTCAATACCTGCCAATAGCCATCCATTGCCTCACATGGGTTAATTATTTATACTGTAGTTAGCAAAAATGAACAAACAAACCACTCACCACACTCGCTGCTGATGGCTGCCTGCTAATTCGCGGCCTCGGTGGTCACACGGCCTCAAGTTTGGGTGCAAAGCTTGCATACACTGGCCTGGTTGGTGGCTCAATTGCTTGGAATTCCGCGAATGTGGAACCCGCGTACTAAATCTGAATTAGGGAGCCTCTATATCCTTTGCCACAGTTTACGCTCAATACAGGGAAGATACAACCTCGCAATGTGATGGGCAAACGCCCCCCTTATCGCGCCTCACTGCCTCGAACAGCCGTGTAAAAAACTTAACAGTCCCAAAAGCTTCCTAAGTGCTGAAAACTATTGCAAAGGAGGAAGACCAGGAGGACTAATGCTCTGGTTTACAAGCCAATTCGATGTGCCAAGTGCTACTTGCTGTTTTTTGTACCCCAAATTCCTTAACACTCAAAGCTTTTCTTGTTATTAAATTGTTTTTTTTACCATTTATTTTTTTTTTTACTTAGCTTGCTAAATATTCGATCAGGCCGACAATAAATGTTCAATTTTTGCTGGTGTCGTAAACACCATAGCTTCAGTCTAGAAACTGTCGAAAGTCCTGTCCATAGGCAGGATGAATGTTGTAAGCTATTAGTTTTTTAATGCAATTTGTCTGTCAAAATCTAATTTAACTTACCACACTTAGAGTGGTGGACAAGGGCTCCTGGGAGGAAATGTTGCCAGATAAAATGTCGCATTAGTTGCCCTTGTGTCCTTTTACTTACGCATAGATTATTAAGTAGGAGTTCTTAACCCTTTATCAGACAGGCCAATAAATATATTGGCCTGCCTGGTAAACGGTTATATGTACAACTGTGTAACTATGATGCGATTTAACAAATAAATAGCAGATGTATTATTCTGCAGCTTTGGTCCTCCTCACACTTTTTTTTTTTTTTACACAGGGTTTGACAAGGTTAAAGATCTCTAGCTTTATTGACAAGCTATTTACAGGTTAAGGATTCCTAACTTTATTGGCAAGCTAAGAGCTGTTACCTACATCAGCTCATTTGAAAGCATTTTTATTGTTATGAGACATACAAGTAGGGAACAGGATGAAGTTGGAGCCATCTGTGGGCCAGCATTTTCATTTGATCAACTGACTTTATCTCATTGACATCATTATGCTGTACGAATGTGTTCCATACTCGAGTCATCCTGGGTATATAGGATCTCAGATGGAGTGAAGTTCTGGAGAAGGGTACAGCCAGAGTGAAGTTGCTGCTTTCTGCCCGTCTTGTGGCATAAAAGCTTGTTTCACGCTGTCCTCGAAGTGGATCCAAGTGTGGTACTTTGACAATATTGGCCTTGTACATAACAGTAAGGCCACCCACATCCCTCCTATGTTGAAGGCTCTGCTGAAATGACAGATCTATCCAGGATGGGTCCAGGCGAGAGATGAGACGTCTTGCTCTGTTCTCTACTCTGTCAAGCAGTCGCAGATGAGAGGGGGGGGGGCAGGCAAACCAAGAAAGTGGAGCATACTCAAGGTGCGAGTGTACTTGTGCCTTGTACAGAATCTTGCAACCCCTACTGTCAAGTAGATGTGAGATACTGCGAAGTGCTGTAAGCTTCCTGGCTGCCTTGTTTGCAAGATTTACAACATGGTTCTTCATGGTTAGTTTGGGGTCAAATTTCACCCCAAGGATATCAACTTCTTCTCCAGGTGCCAACATCCTCCCATTCATCCTTACTACTGCACCAGCATTACCATCATGGTGCCTAGAGACGATCATTTGCGTTTTCTCAGGTGCAAATGTTACTTGCCATCTATTTCCCCAAGCTGATATAGCTCTCAGCTGGTGATTGATGTAGCTTAGAGCAGCTGGCATTTCTTCTCTTGGATAAGTGAATGTCAGTGTGCAGTCGTCTGCATATGCATGTGATTCTGGGATGAGATGAAGAAGGTCGTTGAAGTTGACATTCCATAACAATGGTCCCAGCACACTTCCTTGTGGAACACTTGCCCCAATAGGATGTCTTGCTGATTCCGTTCCATTGAGAACTACACTTAGAGATCTACCATGAAGGTAATCACTGAGGAGACATAGCATAGAGCCTGCAATTCCCAGTGCTTGAAGTTTTGCTAAGAGGCCCTGGTGCCACACTTGAGTGGCCCATATTGGTTTAACATGTTTTGTGAATGTGATAGCTGATCATCTTTCATGTGAACGTTCATACATTTAGAAGGAAGATGTACAGCACAGTTGTAAATGTACTTTTGTTCTCAGTAAGAGCAAGGCTTGAAACATAAGAACATAAGAAAGAAGGAACACTGCAACAGGCCTACAGACCCATGCGGAGCAGGTCCATGTCTCCCCCCGGATTAGACCAATGACCCACCCCCGGATTAGCCCAATGACCCACCCAGTCTGATCATCTCTGCTCAAGGATGGGGGACTGCACCAGACCCAGCAGCACAAGCTAGTCAGGTCCAACTCACACCCACCCACACCCACTCATGTACTTATCTAACCTAACAGCATACAATTTTAAGTAGAATATTATCAATATTATCACATTGTCAGCTCTATGGTTGTCCTAGCATAGTACAATGAAAATTGCATTTTCAGCTTAAGAAGATTTAAAATCATTCTGTAAGATTTACAATAAAATTATGTGTGATGGTGAAAGTGTTCATTTTTTGGGTCACTTGCCTTGGTGGGAGACGGCCAACATGCTGAAAAAAAAAAATCCAGGCAAGAAAGGATATAATATATACTACTTAAGTTTGTACTCTTACATTACTTTTTCAGATACTGTATATAAAAAAAATAATTGATTTAATACTGAGCAGTTTATAGTTATCTAACAAAGCTTATTAAGTTACTGCTTTCCTGGGAAAGATTTTCACATTTTTCTGCTTTTGGATAATGTGGGAACTTTTCTGCACTGTAATATAATTTATTTTTGTAATAGAGTAGTTCATATCACCAGTTCCTCAGTCACAAAAAACTGAAGTGAAGCTTGGTGAAGATCCGTCCAGTAGGTACCTAATAGTCATGCACCACTGTAACTATTTAACTAAGTAAAGTTTATTTAGGTACAGGTACACGTAAGTACAATTATCGTACCTTTTTTTAAATGCATCGCTCGTTTTCCACCAAGGCAAGGTGACCCAAAAAAGAAGAAACACTTTCATCATCAGTCACTCCATCACTGTCTTGCCAGAGGTGTACCAATACTACAGTTCAAAAACGAACTGTAGTATTATCATACCTAGTAACATAAGTGCAAATTAACTAGGAAACCCAAAAAGTCAGATTACTATAATAATAAAAAAGCACTAAACCTTCAAGGGTCATAAAGCACAGCCCAAAAAGTCAGAGAAAGTGACATATTTCCATTGTGATCTTGGCCCAGTTTGTTGAATGTTCTTACCTAATTATTTTTACTGTAGTATTATTATGCATTTTACATTTACACAACATGCTAAACCCAGAGGCATTTATTGTTGCTTATTTGCCTGACATTTCCTCTATAATGAATTTGGTTTTATTAGACTGGCCTCTGAATTTTACCAAAATATGCTATATTATACGTCATGATTTAGTTTTAGCCAGGAGCAACACACATTTCTCATAATTAACCAACTATTTTGAATGCTTAATAGTTTATGTGTTTTGTTAATATTTAACTTGAATGCTAAAGACTTCAACCTTTTTTTTTTTCTTTTTGTCAACTTTTGTGTTTATTTGTGAGGTTTTAAAATATGTATTTAAGAAATAGTACATTAATATGAAGATTTTTTGAAATGAATAAATTATAATAAGTGAATATTTTCTTTCAGGAACACAACTGTACAAAACTACTGAAGGTTACTTTTTATGATAGTCTTTCTTATGATCTTCTTCATGAAATGGATTTGTCTGTTAGAGTTGAGGGAGATATTGAAACCAACACGTTCAGTGTCACTATGGACAGAGATATTTTGAATATAGTGTCCCACAAAGGTAGCCAACACACTGTCTTGGTGTATCGACTCAAAGAAGTGATGGGCAAGGAGGAAAACGAAACAAAACGAGTGAAGTTGAAGAGGAAGTCACGCAGTAATGTTGGCAGATACAAAGAAGAAGAGAGTGCTCTAGGCAGTGGCATGCAAAATGAGAGCCAAAGGCAAGCTGTAAGAAGCGTAAGGAGCACAGCCACAGGGAGACCCAGGGAGAGGCGAGGGAATGCTATTAAAAGAACATTTACTACTAATAATTCCAGCAGTGATAGTGACCAAGAAGAAGATTCCGATGAGTGGGTTCCATAATGTGTTTAATATGAAACACGTTTAACTTAGAGAGATAGCTTTCTTATACATAATTTACCCTACTGATTGCCAAGTTGAAGGTATTCAAGATAGATGATATAGTATATAAGAAAGCAAGAGGAAAAGAGGAAGATTTAGTTGATAACCAAATAATAAATGAAACCAAAGATATGCGGGAATGACAAGAAACTGAATTTTTGTCCGTGTAGAGTTATAACAGTATTACAAAAAACAGAGATATGCGCAGAAATGAAAATGCAAGAAAAAGTGCAGAAAAGGAATATGTATGTTTAGAGTAAATTCTGAAAATCAGCACCCTTGGACCAAAACCATGGTAGCTTTTCAAAATTTTGTTCAGTATGCAAGTTCTTCAAGGGTGTTGACCTACTTGGTAGTTTTTAACACTGAATTTAACACCCCACATCAGAGCTATAGTTAATTTTATTCACTTTTAAATTAAAAATATTTATGTAGTACCATAGAGTAAATACAGTGCATTTAAAATAAAAAGAATAATTCTCTAAGAAAATAAATAGCAAAATTCAATGACCATAAAAGGTAAGGTAAGGTGCGATGATTGGTTGTTATGAAATGATGTATACGATAAGTCCTTGACTTACCAACACACTGGGGACTCCTGATTTGTGTATAATAGTCATAATACAGAAAGTCTTCAACTTACGAATGCGTACATTGGGGACCTAATGTATTGTGTATAATAATGATATTATACACAATAATGACATAATAATGATATCCACAATGCAGAATATTCTCAATGTGTTTGTAAGTTGTGGACTTATTTTTTTTTATTAACACATTAGCCATTTCCCACCAAGGGAGGATGGCCCAAAAAAGAAAAACTTGCACCATCATTCACTCCATCACTTCCTTGCCAGAGGCACGCTTGCACTACAGTTATAAAACTGCAGCATTAACACCCCCTTCTTCCTCGTGGACGTAGTATTGTACTGCATAAACTAACGTAGGTGACAATTTCTCAGGAACTAGTGCTGTTGGGAGATTCCTCAAATCGATGGTCCCCCAAATTCTTTTATTTATAATTATTGATTTTTGCGTAGTTTACTGATATATAATATAAGAGAACTTCATTGAAGGAGTCTTTCAGTGTCATGCAGTGGAGGTGTGTGTATGGCAAGGAACTGCAAGCTGTTTTTTTTGTATTTATAGTACAATAAAGCCTACATGTATTTTCTGCCACAGCACCATTGCACATTTATGTATAGTAGTGTAAAGCACCCTTCTGGCAAGACAGTGATGGAGTGAATGATGGTGAAAGTTTTTCTTTTTCGGGCCACCCTGCCTTGGTGAGAATTGGCCAGTGTGTTAATAATAAAAAAAAAATAAAAAAATTTTTTTTTAATAAGTTTTGCTATGAGTTAAGAATGTAAATAAGAATAAATAAAATCAATATAAATTTATTTAGTGAAAGTGGGAAAAGAATCCTGCCTCTGTAAGCCATGTGTGTCGTAAAAGGCAACTAGAATGATGGAAGCGAAGGGCTAGTGACCCCTTCCCCTGTATAAATTACTAAATGTAAACAAGAAGAGAACTTTATAGTTTTCTGCCTTTGTGGTAGACAGCTGGTATGTTAAAAAAAAAAAAAATATTTTTATATAGCCGGACTTGAGTACTGGATATGGGAAGTACATGTGTACAATGCTTGCACTTTGAAGGAAGAGTTTGGGATATTGGCAGTTTGGAGGGATATGTTATACATCTTTATATATGCTTCTAAACTGTTGTATCTGGGCACCTCTGCAAAGGCAGTGATTATGTATGAGTGAGGTGAAAGTGTTGAATGATGATGACAGTATTTTCTTTTTTGGGGATTTTCTCCTTTTGGGTCACCCTGCCTCGGTGGGAAATGGCCAACTTGTTGAAAAAAAAAAAGCATTTGACTGTTAGGAAACAGAGATAATTACTATTCTGATAGTATGATATATTGTACCAGTCTACCATGCAGGAGGGAAACCATCCAAGTGCAATATCTAACAACTTGCTGACACTGCCATGTATTCACTTTTACCTGATTCCACACATTTATTTACTGTAAATTATTTTACGTAATTACTTACATATTTATAGCATAGCCAGTGTACATGAATGTTTATAATTGATGTGTTGTACAAAAATTCTTAAAGCAGATGGGAAAATGAACTGTTGCATAAATTACTAAAGACTTACAAGTATTATATACATCTTTTGTACTATACATTCCAAGCTTATGTATTAGTTCCATAATAGCTAGTAATAATAATCAACTGTTTGTCTTTGTAGTTTATGTAAGCAATTGTATTGATTGGAAAGATAAACATTGTATTACAGATGATATAATGGAATGAAACCTAAATTCCTTGTATGTATATACAGGTTTTACATACGGTTCTGTACATTCTCTATGCATTTGTAGCTTATGTATGCACTATATCATTACTATATAATATCTGTTTTTGTATTAATTTGTATGCAAGGCAAAATATTCATGCATTGCATAATATGAAGAAAAAATGTTTGTTTTGTCCACCTCACTAAGGGAAGGTAGAGAAGGGCAATGAGTGTTCACTGGGATTCCTTGCACTGACATCCAGTTTCAATAATGTTTCTATAAAAATGACTGAAAAATAAGACGTATACAGCAACAAACATGTAATAATAATAATAATAATAATTTTTATTTCTACAAGTACATGTACAAGGTATACAGACCGTAACTGACATCAGTGACATACTATATGGAATGTACCTTGTTATGAAGATCATTTCGGGCAAATTAGGTCAATTTTGTCCCCTGGAAGTGACTCACACCAGTCAACTAACACCCAGGTGAACATGGACAGCAGGTGTCTTAAGGAAACACATCCTAATGGTTCTACCCATACTGGGAATTGACCCTCGAACCTTGGTGTGTGAGCTGAGTGTGCTACCAATCGAGCTATTAGTTAGTCCAGTGCCCCTTGAGCTGCCAAGCATGACATGATGCATTGTTACGGAATATCGATTTTTTTTTATTTCCTTTAAGGTTTAGAAGAGTTTTGCCCGAAGTATGTTCTACTTAGTGTTTACTCTGAAAATAATTTTTTCGTAACTAATGCTCGTAACTAAAAGCCATAAAGGAAATTGAAAAAACCCAAAATACTTTTTTTCTTATGACAAATCTAAGGGAAAAAAACATCCAGTATTGGGCCCCTGCTTAGGCGGGATGGGACATACACAGATGATAGCCAAGAAATGAGTGAGATACTAAAGTCCCAATATGACTCAGTGTTCAGCGATCCACTACCCACTCTAAGGGTCGACATTCCTAATAAATTCTTTATGAACGAAACCCAAAATTTGGTCATCCCAAAACTCTCGGATATTATTCTAACTCCACAAGATTTTGAAGAGGCAATTAATGACATGCCCATGCACTCTGCCCCAGGCCCAGACTCGTGGAACTCCGTGTTCATCAAGAATTGCAAGAAGTCCCTACAGACATAGCCCCACTCCACAAAGATGGCAGTAAAGCAATTGCAAAGAACTACAGACCAATAGCACTAACATCCCATATCATAAAAATCTTTGAGAGGGTTCTAAGAAGTAAAATAGCCAACCACCTAGATACCCATCAGTTACACAACCCAGGGCAACACGGGTTTAGAGCAGGTCGCTCCTGCCTGTCCCAGCTACTGGACCACTATGACAAGGTCCTGGATGCTGTAGAGGATAAACAAAATACAGATGTAGTATACATAGACTTTGCAGAAGCTTTCGACAAATGTGACCATGGTGTAATAGCACACAGAATGCGGGATAAAGGAATAACGGGAAAAGTGGGTAGACAGAGATGCTAGCCATAGCTCCGTGTCTTCCTTTGCGGATGACACCCGGATCACCATGGCAGTGACCTCCATCGAAGACACTGCAAGACTCCAAGCGGACATCAACCAAATCTTCGAATGGACCACTCAAAACAATATGAAGTTCAACGAGGAGAAATTTCAACTACTCAGATATGGTAAACTTGTAGAAATTAAAAATGTGTCAGGGTATACCACAAATTCTAACCACACAATAGAGCGGAAAAGTAATGTGAAGGACCTGGGAGTGATAATCTCGGAGGATCTTGCCTTCAAAGACCACAGCAATGTATCTACCTCATCCGCTAGGAAAATGATAGGATGGATAATGAGGACCTTCAAAACTAGGGACGCCAAGCCCATGATGATTCTCTTCAAATCGCTTGTGCTCCCTAGGCTGGAATACTGCTGTACACTAACGGCCCCCTTCAAGGCTGGCGACATTGCAGACCTGGAGAGTGTACAAAGAACTTTCATGGCATACATAGGTGCAATAAGGCACCTAAACTACTGGGAACAGTGAAAGGTCCTTGATCTGTATTCCCTTGAATGAAATTAAGACACGTGCAACATCTGGGTATAAAGATACCCAGATGTTGCACATGTGTCTTAATTTCATCTTGTCGATATTGTATACCATTCTTGTACAATTCCCTCGAATGCAGGCGAGAGAGATACATGATAATATACACTTTGGAACGTCCTGGAGGGATTGGTACCAAACCTGCACAGGAAAGTCACTCCATATGAAAGCAAAAGACTCGGCAGGAGATGCAACATTTCCCTGATGAAAAGCAGGGGTGCCACGAGGACACTGAGAGACAACACAATAAGTGTCCGGGGCTCAAGACTGCTCAATTGCCTCCCAGCATACATAAGGGGGATTACCAATAGACCCCTGGCTGTCTTCAAGAAGGCACTGGGCAGGCACCTAAAGTCAGTACCTGACCAACTGGGCTGTGGTTTGTACGTCAGCTTGCGTGTGGCCAGCAGTAACAGTCTGGTTGATCAGACCCTGATCCACCATGAGGCCTGGTCTCAGACCGGGCCGCAGGGGCATTGACCTCCGAAACCCTCTCCAGGTAAACTCCAGGTCGTGAAAAATGCTCCTGTCTCTTTAAATACAATAAATATGATTAAGGTAAGAGACGTAATAGAATAGAGAAGATTAGTCATGTAAATGTAAAAGCAATAAGAAAGAAGCAAAAGAATCTCAGGCAGTTTTTTAATTACCACAGAAAAGGATGGAATGCTGGAGAGAGAGAAAATCTTTCATAAGAAGAGAAAGATTATAGTGCATGGCATAACAAGCTGCCATAGGCACCATGAATAGTGTAATTCTTGCCTAGAGTCATCCTGGCAAGGTGTTGTAAGTTCCTAGGAATGTGAAATATATTTCTGCTCTCTGGTTTGTTTCATAAGCTCATAGAAGGGAGTGTTTTAAGGTACGCTCATTGTTATACTAGTTTTAGTCAAGGGTTAATTTATTTTTATTTCCAGTACAGTATTATAGGAAATAGAGTTATTGTAGTAACTCCTATTTTATATTCACTCACGAGATGTGTGAAAAAAATTATTACTTTAGTATTATGTTATCTAGATGGATTAAATAGGCTACATTGAGGTATGTACTGTACACGAACTATACAGTAGAACCCTTCTATCTGCAGGTCCAGCATCCGCATGTTCATTTATCATGTACCATGGTTCTAATCATGGCCCGAAAAAAACCGTAATTTTTGCTTGATAATGACTCCAAGTGCAATAGTAGTGATGGTGGAAGTTCTTCAAAGCCTAAAAGGTAGAAGCTGTGAAGTGCTTCCATCCAGTGAAAAAGTGATAATTCTCCACTTATTTGTTGTAATTATAATCGCTTAAATTTATAATAGTTTGTATAGGACTATAAATTAGGATTATCTATGCCAGGTTTTGGTATTCGCAAGCCTTGGAACTAACCTGTGATAGAACGGGTCTACTGTATTTTTAAGGGTTATGACAGTTAAATACACTGCGGGTATTAATTACATTTTTGTGAATAGGGGTATTAATTACATTTTCATGACCAGGAGGCATTAATTACAGTTTCATGACAAGTGGTATTAACTGCAGTTTCATGACAAGTGGTATTAATTACAGTTTCATGACAAGTGGTATTAATTACAGTTTCATGACAAGTGGTATTAATTACAGTTTCATGACAAGTGGTATTAATTACATTTTCATGACAAGTGGTATTAATTACATTTTCATGAGATGGTATTAATTACATTTTCATGGCAGGTGGTATTAATTACATTTTCATGACAAGTGGTATTAATTACATTTTCTTGGCCAGGGGTCTGAATTACATTTTCGTGGTTATAAAATGTATTTTCCATAGGTAGTTTAGGACCGACAGTATATTTTCAGGGAATATAACTATAGTTCCAGTACAAAAATAATCATGTTCCTTTTAGTGTAGACTTCTGCTTCTGTATTTGCCACATAGATGTACATTTCAGTTCCTCTTATAATTTACATGTAATGGTAGCTGTAATAAAATAATTAAACAAGTGCAGGTTATTTGTGTATTGTTCAAGCTTAATCTTCCAAGTGTTTTATAATATTTATAAATCCTGAAATAAATCAACGTGGGATGTCTGCCCTGCAGCATCAGTGCTAACTGAGGTGTAATACAGGCAGGCTCCTCTTTACAATGCTTCGCTTTAAAAAATCTAAATCTAAATTTCGCTTCACAGTGCTTCACTTTGCAGCACTTTGCTTTACAGTGCTTTGCATTACAGCACTTTGCTTTACAAGGTTTCACTTTACAGTGCTCTGCTTTACAAGGCTTCACTTTACAGTGTTTCGCTAATACAACAGTTTTCAATTATACCCATTCCTCATTTATTGAAGACTTCCTACAGTAAATATATTCACCACTCACTATAAAAATATTTTAAGCTAAGTAATGTGTGTACTGTACATGCATTTTTTAGGCCTAGCTCTGTTGCTCACTTAATACATGTTATCAGGCTTTTATATGCATTTGAAAGTGAAAAGAAAAGCCCATGTTTCACTTTACAATGATTTTCACTTTACAGCAGTAGTCCAGAACCTAATATAAGTGGGGCCCTACAGTAGCTGGACCCTAACCTGCTGTATGAGTGGGGCCCTATAGTATCCCGGAACCTAACCTGCTGTATAAGTGGGGCCCTACAGTAGCCGAAACCAAACCTGCTGTATAAGTGGGGCCCTATAATAGCTCGGAACTTAACCTGCTGTATAAGTGGAGCCTTACAGTGCCTTATGACGACGCCTCGAAGATGAAGGGTTCCTGATGCAAGGGACTAGAATTATCCTCCCTCTGCTCAAACCTCAATGCTTTCTATACCTCTTCATTTTGGCATAAATAGGTGGGAATATTTGCCCCCTTTGGCAGCCCTTTAAATAAATAAGGTGCCTTGATAATGCTGAAGGAGGTTCATGATCAGAGGAACTGAGCTACTGTCCCCTTCCTCGGATCAAACTTTATTTCCTACCATTCCCCAGGCAGTGTATGAGCCCTTGGAGTTTAGTGCTTTCCTGTGAATATACTAATAAAAATACTACTATTAATAGTAATAATGCTCCCAAGTTAACTATTACTCAGGGTAATCCACTGAAGTCAGGCTGTCATCGAGGACTGTTTGGCTTATTTCCATTGTATCTCTCAGCTCTTTTTCTCCAGGATGCAACCCACACTGGTCGCCTAATCCCCAGGTACCTATTTACTTTTAGGTGAATATTACAAAACACTGATTGGCCTTATATCAGTGCAGTAGCATAAGAGTTCGGGATACAGAATAAACACAAAACTTTATAACCTTTACTAAAACAATATTTGATATAAAAACAATCTTTGGTATAGATGTATCCTACAATAATAAATAATCTTTAATATAACAATATTGATATAAAAAACATATAATCTTTGGTATAGATATATACATCATACGTTAATTATAATTTCACACATGTGTCACCTGACACTCAGGGCACAGACGACACCCTTTTCAGGGTTATAACCCCTCAAGGAAGGTTCCTTGATGTTGGTGAGGGGCTCTTGATTTAAGGAATTGGATCTGTGCTCCAGTTCCCCGAATTAAGCCTGAATGCCTTCCACATCCCCCCCCCAGGCGCTGTATAATCCTCCGGGTTTAGCGCTTCCCCCTTAATTATAATAATAATAATTCAGGGTTATAACACACCTTCTCTATCATGTCACATGACACCCTTGTCTCTGCATTATAACACATCATATCTACTGTGTCCACATGACAGTGAACAAGTGTATGGAAGCATTTCCAATGTTTCCAATCGTGTCAAGGATCGAATCCTGGTCCCTCAGTGTGTAAGCTGAGGTTTAGAAAGCCGACAAGTTGATAAATGAGTCAATTGTGCAACATCTAGGTATTTTTATTCTGGAAATGTTTTATCAGTCAGTTGGTTCTTCAGTCGAGGAGGGAGGGAGGGAGAGGCCTCGTTGGTTGTGACTCACAATACTAATGTTGTGTCTCCGGGAAGACGGTAACAGATGCTTGTGTATTATTGTGTATGCTCAGGGATGTAGTGGAGGAGGTGGTAGTGGTCGTGGTGGTGGTAGTAGTACTGGTAATAGTGGTTGGTGGTGGTAGTAGTTGTAGTGGTGGCAGTGGTAGTAGAAGTAGTGACAATAGTAGTAGTGGTGGTAGTAGTAGTAGTAGTAGTGACAATAGTGTCCCACAGGGAATTATTATTATAATCAAGGGGGAAGCGCTAAACCCGGAGGATTATACAGCGCCTGGGGGGGGGATATGGAAGGCATTCAGGTTTAATTCGGGGAACTGGAGCACAGATCCAATTCCCTAAATCGAGAGCCCCCTCACCAACATCAAGGAACCTTCCTTGAGGGGGTCCCACAGGGAAGTGTCCTAGGCCCTCTACTCTTTCTCATATACATATATGACCTACCAAATGCATCGCAATTACTCAAACCCACACTATTTGCAGATGACACCACATACGTCGTCTCTCACCCGAGCCCAGTCACGCTAGCCAATACTGTAAATACCGAATTACAGAAAATATCTACCTGGATGAGGACTAACAAACTTACACTAAACATGACAAAACCTACTTCATTCAGTTTGGTAACAGTTACAGATGTCCCTCTTAACATAATCATAAACGGATCACCTATCACAAAGCTAACAGAGGGAAAATTCTTAGGAATCCAGACCGTAGGCATACTATCGAAGATACGGTACTATGTTCCACAGTCAGCCCTCCTGGCCCTTTATCACTCTCTTATTTACCCCTATCTCACCTATGGAATTTGTGCATGGGGCTCAACAACAATAAACCATCTCAGACCATTAATTACCCAACAAAAGGCTGCAGTTAGAATGATAACAAATTCCCACTACAGGCAGCACACTCCACCAATATTCAAAACTCTAAACCTACTCCCTACAAAACCCATCCATACTTATTACTGACAAACTACATACATAGAACACTTAACTCTGATATTAACCCTCCCAAACATCTCCTTACCAACCTCAACAGAACACATGCCATAACACAAGGCACAGATCACTCTTTGATGTTCCTCGGAGTCATCTCACGCTATGCAAAAACTCAATGCACATAAAAGACCCTAAAATCTGGATTTATTACCTGTAAATATAAAGAACACTCTTGTTTATAAATTAAGTCTCTTCTCAAAGATCACTTACTCACCCAAAAAACAAATAAATCTGATTACTGATATCTTATAATTGTATATCTTAAATGTTTCTCACAATTATATCACATAAATGTTAAACAAAGGGACCCAATCTAACTTTGTTATTATTTAATACCTACCTAACTAAAGGGCTCTTGACTCTGTATGACTCCAACAACATGCTCATTGGAGAAGCAGGAAATAGATACTCAAAAATAGGGACAAAGGATTAATGTACATTTGCTAGGATCCCATCACACATTGGATTACTCCTCATGATTTAAGTTGATGTTAGCCAAGAAAGTACCCAGAAGGAGAATGTAGAATATAACTTTGGATAACCTGTGTCTAGCTTGGAATAATATGGGGAGAGAAGTAAAAAATGAAGAGATTGTTATAGGAATGCAAGTTAGAAGCCTGAGTAGATCTATAACCCACTATGATAACATGACGTAGATAGTATGTTATGGAGCAACGTGCAATGTGAACACTGACTGATGTTGTAGTGGCCAAAGGCTTAGGCTTTGTTCTATCTAGGTGAATATGCTGCACCTACGCACCTTTCAAGGCAAGTTGAAATTGCCGACTAGAAAATGTACAGAGAATTTCACGGCGCGCTAACGGAGATAAAAACACCTCAATTATGGGAGGCTTGAGGTTTCTAACCTGTATTCCCTGGAACGCAGGAGGGGAGATACATGATTATATACACTGAAAATCCTAGAGGGACTAGTACGAACTTGCACACGAAAATCACTCACTACGAAAGCAAAAGATTGGCAGACGATGAAACCACCCCCAATGAAAAAGCAGGTTGTCACTAGCACGTTAAGAGACCATAAATGAAGGTGTCAGTGCTCCAAAGACGATTCATGCCTCATGGCACAATAAGGGGGATTACCAACAGACCCTGGCAGTCTTCAAGCTGGCATGGCAAGCACCTAAAGTCA